TTTCCACCTCAGGAAAGGCGGATGAAGGCTAAGTCGTTTTTTTTGTTTACCGTGACGGTTTTGTTGGGCTGAAGGTGGTAGAAGCGAGGGGGGAGGGGGGAAGAGGGGAAAGGGGAAGAGAGGGAGAGGATGCCTGCCGGCGTCGCGTGTGCTGCTGTGGCATGCGCCTCACGGCTGCGACTGGCCGGCGCCTCGGCGCGTCAGCTCGGCTCGGCGTAGCGATCGTGGCCAGCACAACTCGCCTGGACTCAACGCTCAGCCAGGAGCTCCCGCACGCGCTGGCGCGAGTCATGGCGCATGCAACGCGCCTGAATGCTCGCCTCGCCTCGCGCAAATGCGACCGTCCTCGCAGCCGACAGTCCACCGCCTGCTAAAGAAGCACAGCGACGAATGCGGCACCGGCGACGCATGGCAGGCTGGTCATGACGCAATCATAGGGTGTTGTGTGCCGTCGCAGAGTGACTCTCTGTGTGTCAGGGATAGTCAGGGCCGTCCATCAGAGCTCCGGTAAGCTCGGAGACACCCCATTAGTGCGACTCGACCTCTTTGAGTCTCACTGCCTTCCCGGCGGTTTGGCTGTAGAGCCTCCTCTACAACCAACTCTACAGCAAAATCGCGCTCTACATCGCTCTACAACGCACGCAGTTCGTCACGCAGCCGATGTAGAGCTCTAGAGCTCTACAGCGCTCCAGAGCGCTCTACATCTCTACAGCTCTACAGCGCTCTACACTCTACATCCTCTATCTACACCCTCCCTCAGCGAAAAGTGCTGGGGACCCTGTCGTTTCCTTTTTGGTTTCCGGAAGCTCGCGAGTGTGGTTTCGGCCATGGGTGACCTCCTGACCCGAGCTCAGATGGCGGCGAGCAGAACGTGCCCAGAAATCATATACACAATCGGTCGGTGCAAGCAGTACAACAGACAGTATTTATTCCTGAACAGACAGGTTTCATGTGCGAGAGCTGCATCGAGGCTCTCGCCCCCTGTGTCCTGCCTCAGCCAGAAGCTGCACGAACGACTTCTTGAGCGCCGGCTCAACCCCTTCCTCTAAACAGAAAACCCAGTCCTTGAATGTCGGAGCTATGCAATACTGGAAAAGAAAAGCGCTTCGCTCTCGCCCGCCCCTCTGTGTCCGGCTTTTGGCGCACGGTGCGCACGGGTATGCGCCCCTATTCGCTCGGCCGCAAGCAAAAGCCAGCCAAGCCCACCACCGCATCGCTCGCCGGCGACAGCGCCAGCGACGGCGGCAGCAGATCCGGCACCAGCGCCTCGCCGGCGAGCGTCCGATCCGAGTCGTCGAAGCTCGGAGCAGCAGATCCGCTCGGGGCTGCCCGGAGGCTGGCGAGGCGCACCTTCTCCTTCTCCACGAGACGGAGCGTGCAGGCCAAGCAGCCGGCCGTCCTCGGCGCTGACGACGCGCCGCCCGCGCCGTACGACTCGCTGCAGCCCGTCGGCGGCGGCGAGACGGCCGCCCTCGCGCGGCTGCAGCGGTGGCAGCCGCCGTCGCGCTGTTCGGCCGCGTCTCCGGCGGCGCTCGCGGGCGCGGGCCTCCGGGACGCCGACGACGCGGCGCTCGCGCGCCGCCTGCAGGCCGAGGAGGAGGAGCGCCTCGCCGCAGCGATGGCGGCGCCGCCAAAGCCGATGGGCCATCGCGAGAGCCGGAAGTCGCTGGTCAACATCCGGAGGACCGCGTCGTGGCAGCGCGGGCACCGGCAGGCGAGGCGCGCCGCGTCCAAGCCCGCCTCCTCCTTCTGGGAGGGCGCCCTCTATGCCGCCGCCGCCGCTCTACTCGACGGGCGGCGAGGCGGCGGCGCGCTGCCGGCGGCGACCCGAGCCGCCCTCGCCCGCGTGAGCAAGGCGACGGTCGAGGCGGCCGCGGCGGTGCGGGGTTGCGCGGGAGGCGGAAGCGGCGGCCTGCGCGCGCCCCAGCTCCCCTCGGTCGTCTTCACCCACGAGGGCGGCGAGGGCGGGCGCGGCAAGGAGAACCAGGCGCGTTGCGCCCTCCCCGCCCCGTGCCCTCCCCGCCCCGTGCCTTGCCCGTGCGCCCTGCCACCCTGTGAGCGCCCGACGGAGATTGCCCACCTCCCCGCCCGCCGCCCTCAGGACGCGGCCTTTGCGGCGCGCCCGTCGCCGGATCTCGCCATCTTTGGCGTCTTTGACGGCCACGGCCGCCGGTGCGCCCCACCCCCTCGGCGTCGCGCCGCCTCGCGGCACACGCCCCTCCTCTCGCCGCCGCACCCTCTCGTAGCCCGCCCGCCTCCGCGTGCGGCGGGTTCGCCCGACCCTTCGCGGAGCCTCTCTGCTGCAGGTTCGGCAAGCTCGCGGGAGAGGTTGCCAGCCGGGTGGTTCGCTCGCGCCTCTGCGCTCTCCACCGCTGGGTGGAGCTCTGCCCCGACGCGGCGCTGCAGTGGGTGTTTACGCACGCGCACGAGGAGATCCGCACCGCCATGCTGGCCGCAGCGCCGGATCTGCTGCATCTGCAGCGAGGCGCGCGCCGTCCCCGCCGCCTGTGCCTCGCCTCCCACCCCTGCAGCCTCCCGTCTCTCGCCCTCCCACCTCCAGCAAACCCGCCCTCCGCCCTCTGTGCCCAGGCCACCGCGCCGACTTCCTCGTCGAGTGGATGACGGACGAGGACGGGGGGGACGCGCGCTGGGACGCGGTCGACGGAGGCACCACCGCCACCGTCGCGCTGCTGCTGCGCGGCACCCTCCTCAAACTCGCCTTCGCCGGCGACTCCTCCGCCGTCGTCCTCGGCCGCGCCGCGCCCCCCCGGCCGGCGCGGCAAGGGAGGGCGAAGCCTGCGCCGCCGTCCGCGCACGGCCCTGCAGGCGGCACCCCGGGCATCAGCGTGCCCGCCGGCTACTCTCGGTCCGGCCTGGCGCTGCCCGCGCCAGCGGAGCCTCTCCCCTCCCCGTCGTCGTCCGACCTCTCCCTTATCTCGCTCGCGACGCCCGAGAGCCGCAGCGGCGAGCCGCTCTCGCCGCCGCCCTCGCCCCCCTCGCGCTCGCCGCCGCCGCCCTCGCCCTCGAAGGCACGCCAGTTTTTCATGAATGCGGAGTCGGCCTCCGCGCCGTCCGCGGCGCCTGCCGCTGCCGCCTCGCGCTACGGCCACCGCACTGGCACCGTCGTCCCCTCCTCCAAGCCCGCCACCGCGCCGCCACCCGGCGGCGGAGCCGCAGCCGCCCTCGCCCGAGCGCGCGCCTATCAGGCGCAGGCGCAAGCCCCGGCGGCCGAGCCGGCAGGCGCCGCGAGTGGGGGGGCGAGGGAGGCGGCGTCCGCGGCGCAGCAGCAGCGACAGCGGGAGGAGGAGGCCGCCGCCGCGGCGGCAGCAGCTCGGGCAGCCGCAGCGGCGGAGGCGGAGAGGGCGGAGGCGGAGAGGGCGGCGGAGGCGGAGAGGGCAACGGCCGCGGTGGCGGCGGTCGCCGCGGCGGCCGGGAAGCCATCGCACGAGCTGTACGCCGAGGAGCATTCGCCGACCAACCTGCAAGAGTACATGCGGGTGCGCTCGACGGCGGGCGGCGAGGCGGTCAGTTTCGTCTACGACTGCCCCGACTACGAGGAGTTCAACATCTTTGGGACCGACGCGAGCGGCGCGGCGTGCGCCGACGCCGCCAACTTGCGGATGGCGGACGAGCACGGAGTGCTGGTCAAGAACCCGCGGGACGACCGTTTCACGCTGCTGCTGGTGCCCGAAGGGCGGTACGAGCTGACGCACCAGCCCGGCAGTTTTGCCGAGGTGGAGGAGCAGGCGCCGGCGACGGGAGCGAGATGGGAGAGGGAGGGGGGGGGGGGAGGGGAGAGACTCCACCCGCACACGGGCGAGGGTGACTTGGCGGGACCGTGCCTCCTCGCCCGCAGGCACTGACGATGACGCGCTCGCTCGGCGACTTTTACGCGCACGAGTACGGCGTCACCGCCGCGCCAGAGGTGCGCACGATCCCGCTGGCGCAGGTGCGGCTGTCGCACCCCGCCCTGCTGCTCGCCTCGGATGGCGTGTGGGACATCTGGGACTACGACGAGGTGGCGGCGCAGCTGGTGCCGGCGACCGGCTTGGGGTCGCTCGACGCGATGCGCGAGCGCGCGGCCCGCTTCTGCGAGGCGACGCGCGCCACCGGCTTCAAGTACTTTGGGGAGCGGGCCGACAACTTGACGGGCGTCCTCGTCAACTTGAGCGAGGTGTGTGGACGCTGAAGGGAGGAGGGGTGGGCGCGGCGGAGGCGAGGTGGGCGTGCCTATCCCCACGCGTCGGAGTTCTCTCAAATCAGGCCCCACGTGGCGACGCCGATCGGCGGGGGGATATGTGCATGTGGCGCGATAGAGTCTCCGTGGACGCCGTGAGTCGCTAGGTGAGTCGGCGTCTCTGATCGAGAGGAAAGGCAGTGGGGACCCCGCGGCGGTGTATGTCCGAGTGTGTATGTGTCCCGCGCCATCATTCTCGCAGTCGCACAACCGCGCCCGCGCGCGCCGCGCGGGACCGAGCGACGAGCCGACGCGCGAAATAAAAGTAAAAAGGAACAGGTCCCCGCCCTTGCGATCTTTGTGCAGGGTTCATCTTTGTGCATTGTGGGTGACTGTGGTGTCGCCGTGTCGGCGACTAGCCGGGGTCGGGGTCCTCCCGATGGGGGACTAGCACTAGCCGTCTTCCACCTGGTCCCTCGGGTCCCTGCTGCTCCTAATCTCTTCGTACATCCTCCTGCTGATCTCCGCAAAGTCCTGCTCCCTCCCTCGTCTCGCCCTGCGTGTCTGCTCCGCCTCACCGTCACTTCTGCCCTGCGTCGTCTGGCGACGGGTCCTCCATAGTCGGTCGAGGTCGCCGCCCTCCTCGTGCCTCTTCCCAACGTTCCCTCGGCGGCCGATGCCGTCTGCTCCGGCTCCCCAGTCCACGGGTCTGCCCTGCTCTCGTCTGCGCTAGCTTCTGTTTCGTCATCACCGGCGTCTCTCCTCTTCCTTCTCCCCTTCTTGTATGCTTTGCACATCGCGTCGATTCCTTTTCGCGTGAGCACCAGCCTGAAGCCCGCCCAGCATCTGAACCGCTCCCTAAGTCGAAGGAGCATCATCAGTCTCACCCACTTCGCTCTCTGCCCACCGTCTCCGCTCCCTCCCGCTTGAGCCGCCGTCGCGGCCCTCGTTCGTCCCACTGGCTGTTGGCCCGTCCCTGCGTTGCCTGCGTTATCCCTCCTCTGCGACTCCCTCAAGGCCGGCCGAGCCTCTTTCCACCCAGTGAAGAGCTTCCTCAGTTCCTCAGCCACTCGATGTGTTCCTCTCTCTTCATTATGCGCGCCGTAGCCTCATCATTGAGCTGGATCCAGGAGGTGAGGGCATAGTCTGAGGGTTAGGTTTCTGGAGCCTCGGGTGCTTTTACGCTTTTGATCGGGTCAGGTGTGAGTGGGAGGATCGAGGTGCACGCTGCCGAGGCAGTGTCGTCCCCCCTCTCCATCGTCTCACTGGGAAACGTCGGCGGTGATGGCGGTGTGACCGATCGAGCTACAAGAGGAACTTGGTCAGCAGGATCCGGGGTGGGTCGAGCAGTTCTCACTTCCTCAATGCACAATGGGTGTGAGCTTCAGTTCTCATGGCCAGCGCCACCACGCGTCCTCCCCTTCACCCCTCGGCTCGTGTGGTGGATTCGAACCACGGCCGGGATGGAAGCTTCCTGCTTCCATCTGATTAGTTTTCCATTTTTCTCCTGTGCAAGAGCGGGGGGGGAGCTCATCTAGGAATAAAATATTCTTAGCTTCAAGCCCCCCTCCGAGACTGGAGACAGTCACACCCTCGAAAGCGCCCACCGGTGTGTGTCCAAACACATGTAGCGCTACAAGTTTGTAACACATAAGGGCGCTGCTGAGCACGAGGCTGAGGCGCTGAGCCGCTGAGCCCGGGGCTCTTTGCGGCGGCGGCGATGCGAAAGGTCCAAAAGGATCTGGTGGCGATGAAGGTGGTGGAGCTCAAGGAGGAGCTGGGCGAGCGTGGCGAGGCCCTCTCGGGCAGGAAGGCGTGGCTGCGCCGCCGGCTGCACGGCACGCCTCTATAGTGAGCGAGTATTTGGAGCGAGCGCCGCGGGCGCCGCCGGAGAAGTAGAATGTCCAAAAATTTCGCGCGCGCCTGCGGCGCGACTCGTTTTACCATTTTGCCCCGGGCGGGCCCACTTTTGTCGTTTTGCCCCAAAATCTGCGCCCGGGAGTGCTTTTCTTTTGACCCAAATCGGCCGAACTTTTAGGATACCCTCAGACTCGTGGGTGTCCACATGCCGACCGATTCGGAATCGGATAAAAGGATTCGCGGAGGTGGCTACAATATAGAGGACTAATAGAGCCAGTGCTAGAAGAGTACTTCTAGAACGTAGACGAAGGTCGAAGGGAGCGGACCCGCGCCGGACGGACGCGCGAGAGCGAGAGTCGCCCCGTACACTGTGCGGGGGGAGATCGAGAGGAAAAGGGCCGAAAACCAAAACGCGGTGAAAGCTGCTCCTGCTGTGAAGGCAGAAGGCCGCTCCCCACCGTCATGTTGGTCCCTCCAAGAAGTTCTAGAAAAAGCTAGGTCTGAGAGACGGGGGGAACCAAGCGACACCGATTGCTAGAGGAACATACGTCGGAGCTGGCTCCTCGTGGGCTCCCCCCCCCCTCATGTGCATGCAGTTGGCGCTAGTGGGGGGTAGGCTAATCGCGTCTCACAGCGCGTGCGCCTCTGCGGCTGGGGTCGTCACCCCCGCCCCGCCTCTGCCTCCTCCTCGCGGATCATCGAGCAGCGGCCAGCCCTGTAGTACTCGTTGCTCGCCGTGCCAAAGTAGGCGGCGCCGCTGCAGCTCGCGACGCTCGCTCCCCGCTCGCCCGCGCTACTCGAGTAGGCGCCCGCGAGCGCTGCGAGCTCCGAGGCGGGCGATGAGAGTGAGGGCTCGCTCCAGAGGGAGAAGCTCTCGTGGACGCCTGCGAGGCCGCCGATGCCTGCGAGCGTCGAGGTGGAGGCGTCGCGCTCGACCCGCATCCAGAGGTGGGTCCCCTCGGGGAGCACGCCTGCCGGCACGGGGGGTGGGGGGGGGGCGTCCAACACCGTCTCGAGGGAGAGGCGGGCGGGCCGTACGGCCAGGCCGCATCTGGGCCGCATCTGGCTGTATCGCCGCAGGGACCACGCGATCGACTCTCCTGTGGGCGGTGGCGCGCACACCCCACTCTGCGACGCCCTTTGCCATGCCGCGGCCCCACACCGCCCACCGGCCTCCGAGCACGGCTGCCTCGCCCTCGCCTCCCCCGACGGTCCGGAAGGTGCCGCCCGGCCGCAGCACCACGGCGTACGAGAGAGGAGCGCCTGCGGGACGCGTGCCCTGGACGCGTCACGAACGCGCGTCTTGGAAACGGCGGACGTGGATAAGTACGGGGACCGACGCACCTCCTTCCATGTCGATGAGCATTCGCCACCGGCCGACAAATGCGCGCTTGGCAAAGGTGGCCGGTCGTGCCGGCCGCGCGCTCCGCCGCCGCTCGAGCCGCGCCTGGCCCACGCACACGCGTCACGGGCGGAGGGGGAGGAGGAGGGAGCGGGGAGACGAATGGCCGCGGGGAGCACGCCTCAAGGTCCCCGAGGCCATCCGAGCCGATGTCGGCGAGCGCGAGGGTCAGGTCGCACTCGCCGACGTGGCACGGGTCCTCTGCACCCTCGAGGACGGCGCCACCAAGCTGTGTGCACCGCAGGCCCGTGCGCTCGCCGACAGCGAGGATGGTCCAATCTCTCACCCGCAGCGAGACGGTCACGCGCTGCTGTGCAGATTCAGTCGGAGCGCTATCAGCCCACCAGACTCCCTCTTCATTCTCATCGAGGCCACGCACTCTCCCGCTGGCGGCGAGCCGCCACGTCAGCGTTCGATCCCCGTCGTCGAGACGAAGCTCAGCTTTCCACACACCCGAGAGAGCCTCCAGCTCCTCCGGCTCGAGGGACCCTTCCGCTGCTGTGAGAGCGACTTGAGAGCGGATTTTAATTGGGACGGAGTGCACAGCAGAGGCGCGCCACACCAGGGAGGCGAGGACCATACGGAGGAGGCACGGCGGCGGCGGGCTTGGGGGGGGAGGCGAGGGCGGAGGTGGCGAGGGCGGAGGCGGCCCTCGAGTTGTTGGGCGGACGTTTGCATCCCCCCCCCCCCCCCCACACCACACACACACACACTGGGCACGGGACTGACGGGACGGGACGGAGGGCAGCAGGGCCGCGTGCGGGGCCTGCGCTTGGATGTCCCCGTCGGGCGCGCGGTGTGCCCACTTTCGGTTGACAGGCTTTATGGCGCGGATTTCATGAGCGATGTCTGTCGCATGCGTGCCGCCCCAAGCAAAAATAAAGCCCGAGAGCGATATGCCATGTCCGCCTTGCGTCGTTTCATAACATCGAACGAGTTCATTTTATAAACTAAGCTTGAAATAAGAGGGCTCCCGCGGCGATCAACACCGCAACTCCTTTTCTAAACTTTTTGTTTTGAAGACCTCGATACTTAGCGCACTGCTCGGGCGAGAGCTCAAACACGTGCCGCGTCTCGTCTTCGCCGCCGGCTACGCGCACAGACACAGTACGCGGCAGCGCCGACACGTCAACCCGCGTGTACGTCAGCGACGGGTCGCGCACGCCGCACGAGGCGCATGCGTGCAGCGGCAGCGCGTGCGCCATGCGCTCGTCGCTCCACTCGCCCAGCAGCCGCCGCTTCGTCTCGTCGGAGACGTGCACGCAGCGCTGCAGCAGCGCCGCCGTCTCGTCCTCGGGCCGCTCCAGGTCCATGACGACGTTCGTCGAGGCGTGGAAGCGCGTCTCCAGGTCGATGGCCGCCTGCTCGGCCGCGGCGAGCTTGCCCTGGTCGACGCACATGCCGCACACCGCGTGCGCCGGGCAGCCGCACTGGCCGCGTTGTGGGCGCACGGTCTTGGCGACCGCCGGCGCTGCGCGCCGGTCGTGCTGCTCACGCTGCCGGCGGCGCTGGTCGCGCGCCTGCCGATCGCGCGTGTTCGCGGCGGCTGCATCTCCTGCTCGTTTCGCTCGCACCCGAGCGGCGGTCGCCAGGCGCTTCAGGTCGGCGGTGCTGCGCGCGCGGCCGTCGGCTCTGCACAGCCACATGTCCTCCTCCTCGGCAGGCTCGCACGGCTTGCCGTCGAACTGCGGCGGGAACCCGCGACGACGCTTCGCCCAGGCCGGGCACGATGGTGCCGCGACGAGCGGCGTCGAGGCGACGGCCATCGATGGGTCCAGAAGACTTGGAGACACTTCTAAACCAAAAGCGAGCACAAGTGCGTTACATGGGCATGGCCGGCGTTTCTGCACCGAACGATCTTACTTTCGGTCTATCGAAAGTGTTGATCGATAAATACACCTTTGAGCAAACACAACGATGTCGCTCCACGCGTCGCTTTCAGCCTCGGCGCCACGGCCGCGGCCGCCGGTCTAGCTGGCTGCTCAAGCCAGCGGCTGCTGTGGCCGCAGCAGCGGGCGACCTGCGCGCGCGCTGCCATGAGCGACACAGCAGTCCACCGCCCCGAGTGGCGGCGCTTTGCAGTCGAGATGGGAACCGGCACGAGCCTGCGGCGGCAGGATCACACGGCAGCGGCCGTGCGTGCGCTGGAAGACGCCCTGTGGCGCGTCTCCATGACGGCCTACCGCGCGCTCGACAAGCGCCCGGAGGAGATGAAAATCGAGGTTGTGGTCGGCGTGCCGAAGCCGGCGGCGGTGGACGAGTCGGCGGTCCTCGCCGTGCTGCCGTACGGCGCGGCGCGCCCTGTCGCCTGTCGGAGAGGCCTTTCCTCACGCGCCGCGCCGCTGTCGCCGCTGCAGGCGAGCGCTCCATCAGGGTCGTCGAGGGCGGCCTCGCCATCCCGGGAGGGTGCGGGGCGGATGCACAGGGCGACATCATCATGGCCAACGCGGCCGCAATCGTGTACCTTGACGTGGGCGACTACCTGGCGCTGAAACGGTCGGCAAGTATGGACTAACACGCGGCTCTTGCTGATCCGATGAGCAACACTGATTACTTGGCCGCTGGTGTATATGTCGCTCTTCGGAGCACGGGGAGGAAACGGCGAAGGCCAGTAGCTCTCACTGTCGGGACTTGCCCCAAGGGGGGGCAACACCCTACAGAAGTTACATACAGAGGCAGAAGGCAGTTGGAGCCCTTGCACGTCGAAGGCGAGCCGCTGGGACTTCTCCGGCCAGAACAACGGGCGAGAGGAGGTGGCGGTGGTGTGCGCACCGGCCGCGGCGAAGACTCGGTGTACGTCGCGATCCAGCACATGAAGAACCACGTCTGGCGCGAGGTCTGGCCCGCGATGCCGGCGGCTAGTAGGGCCCCGCGCAGGCCTCTGCGCCGCACGAGCCACGACCACGAGGGGCGCAGCCCGCAGCCCTCCAACTCTTCGCCGCGGAGGGGGGAGCGAGAGTCTCTTGGCCGCTCTTTCGTCTTTGTCGGGTTGTGACTACTGACTTGTGACGTGTGACGAGGGGTGAGAGAGAAAAACTCTCGAGGCGCTGACAGTGACACACCGCGCGCCCCACGGGGGGCGTCCCACAGTCACCCACAGATCTGAGCCTTCCAGTTCCACGAGCGCCCAAACATGAAACAAGCGGCACGGGTGCGCGCAGCACAGATGGCACCTGCCCACCGCCGCATCCACCAACCAGAAGAATCACAGCGCGGTGGCGTTAGTGGCGGAGGGGCCGGGCCGAGGCAGCGCGGGCATCGCCGCAAAGATGGCCGACGAGCACGCGATGGCAACCAGCGCCACCACCCCTCCCGCCGCGTCGAAGGCCAGCTTCGCCCCGCCGCTGGCACGCGCCTCTCCTCCCCGAGAGGTGTCCTCCTCGACGGCGGCGGCGGAAGGGGCGGCCGCGGCCGCCGCGGCATCCACAGCCGCAGCCTCGGGCGCCAGTGCGGCCTCCGCGTCGTCGGCCGCCCGCACGCACCCCGCGCCTTGCTCGGGCGCAGTGTCTGCAGGGCCGCCGGTCAGCAAGTGCGCCCTCAGCCGCGGCTTCTCGAGCGCGCGCTCGGGCGGCGGCGCGCGCCTGCCACGGACGTGCCATGGGCGTGGACGCGTCGCGGGCGTGTCGCGGGCGTGTCGTGGGCGTGTGATGCACGTGCCGTGGCCGCCACGCCGTTGACGTGTCATGGACGTGTCATGGGGAGAGCGGGCTGGTGGCGGCGGCGGCGGCGCGCCGCAGTGCGTGGACGAGGAGCTCGGCGACGAGCACCGACGAGAGCCAGTAAGTCCACGCCTGTGCTGGGGGGCGGGGGAGTGAGTGGGAGGCGCGGGCGCACTGCACTGCCCGACCATCCTCCGTGAGCTCGTGCCGACGCGCTGACATTGGATGCGGCGAGTGCTCGAGCGGCGTGGGCCGTGGCGGCCTCCAACCCGAAGCCGGGAGAACACGCGCGAGAGGGGAGAGTGAGTGTGGCCTTCATGCGCAGCCTTCACCCCCCTGGGCCGCAGCTGTGAGAGGTGGGATCGAGCGCGCGGGGTTTGGTGCTTCCGCATCTAGGCTCCGCGCGTGCAGCATGTCGAAGGGCCGGAAGTAGTCGGCGCAGGTGTCGCCGTCGCACGTGCCGCCCGGGTACTCTCGCGCCTCGCGCGGCGGGCGGTACCTGCTCACAGCTCAAAGCGCCGTGAAGAGAGGCCGTCCGTGCAGGCACGTGCGGCAGCGATTGGCCGGCACCCAAACAGCGCGGTGGCGGCCACGTACCAGTATCTGTAGAGCATCGGCGCCAGGACCTGCGAGTAGGAGCGGATCGCCCACGCGCGGTGCGCTGCGTACCGCTGCTGCCGCGCGCGGACCGCGGTCATGGCGGCGGCGACGCCGAACCAGCCTCCCGCGAGGAGGAAGGCGGCGCCCATGTTGTACCCACCGGAGAGCTTGAAACCCTTGAGCAGGACGAAGAAACATCCGCACAGCGAGGCGCCACAGGCGGAGGCAACGTACAGCCGGCCCGACCAACGGTGGAGTCGCGGCACCCTCCGACGGAGGGCCGGCGAGAATTGACTCGGGCCCAGGAATAGCGCGACGGCGCCGAGGACCATGTGCGCGCCCATCGAGACGCGGCGAGCAGGCGTCGCGCCGAGGCCTGGAAGGACGCCATCGAAGTCGCCCAGGACGAGGTAGTTGAGGACGATGCTGGCGTAGGCCCACGGTATCACGAAAGGCGCCATCGCCAGCGCAGCGACGGCCCATGACCAGGAGAGGAGCCGCATGTAGCCGATTGCCTCCAGCCCGCCACGCGCCGAGTCAGTCTTCTCAGGACTATGGATTGCGCTCGAGGTACGAGGAGCGCAACAGCGCGCCGCAGGCGAAGCGATACACACAAGCAGAAGCAAGACGCCCTCACTCACACAGCTTGATGGTGCTTCGCCCGCGTGCGTCCCGGAGTGGTCCCGGTTGGCAATCCGGGGGAGAAACTCAGGACAACGCCGACGCCGCTCTGATTCGACTTTTTACTTCAAACAAAGACGGCGGCACGCGCCGCAGCGCGGTGCGTGCCGCCGTCAGGAGCGGATATCCGTCAGTTAGTTGTATTCACGCCGGGATGGCGGGATCGTGTCCTGAGTAACTTGCCCAACCATTCCTCCAGCAGAGTATGCAGAGGGCAGGGCCAGGGGGGGTGAACCTTCTTGAGCACTTGAGGCTGAACTCTACATTCGATATTTGTTCTTCACTCGTCCACATCTCTGAGAGAGATTTTTAGCAATACCAAACAAATCTAACACTCACACGTCATTTGGGGCCTGGAGCCCTGTTCACGCGCGCGCGAGACGTGCAGACAGGGTTGCCAGGTGAGAGCGAATGGCGCGGTTCACGCCTCGCACAACAGAGAGAGAGATGCGCTCTGCATGGTGGGACATAAAAGAGAGCGAGTACTTGGGCGAGTAGGCCGTGCGGTCGACGCTGCCGCGCGCGACTTTGCGCGCGAGGCGGCGCAGCTTGAGAACGGCGGTGGGCGAGAAGCCGCCGCCGAACGTCTCGTGGAGCAGCAGGTTGAAGTTGTTGCGCTTGACAAAGATCGCGTCGTGGTAGAAACCGCGATGCGCCTTGACGTAGCCGTGGCCGGTCTTGTGGGAGAAGGGTTGGCCGGGCTGCCCGCGCGCCTTGCAGCCCATGTTTAGGCGGCGGGCCTTCTCTTCGGTGTTACCAAAGGCGTAGGAGTGGCCAACGGAGGCGGGCGTGCCGCCACTCGAGGCGTTGCCAACGCCCGGCGAGGAGGTCTTGAGGAGGGGCGTCCAGAGCTTGACTTCATTCACGTCATCGCACCCTCCCGGTCCCGCATGGGGTTCCGCGAGGTCGACCTTGTACCCCTCGTTGTACTGCCGGGTGAGCTCTGGTTTCTCCTTGTCGCCGTGCACGACCGGCGCGTTGGCCGGGGCGCGCATCGCGTCCGCCCAGGCGGCGAGGACGCCGTCGTGGGGCCGCCGGTGGTGGGCCTTGTTGTAAAGGTAGTCGCCGAAGAAATCGACTGGCATGCCCCGCTCGAGCGCGACCCGAAGGGTGGGAAGCGCCGCGGAGAGCCAAAGGCCGAGCTTTCGCTGGAGCTCGTCCTGGAGGGTGTCGGAGGAGAGGGCGGTGGCGTACGTACCGTCGACACGGACATCGAAGGCCTTGCCGGCGAAAGGCGTTGAGGCGGAGACGAAGCGTGCGGCTTCGCGGTTGTTGACGGCGCTGTCTCCGAGGGACGGGTTGTTCTTGACGTGCGCATCCCGCGCCTTGACGAGCTCCTGGTGCGCGTACCAGTCCTTGTGATTCTTGATGGCAGCGAGCGCCCGCGGCCGCGGGTACGTGGATTTGCAAGTGCCATTGAGAATCGCGTCGGTAGCTGGAAGGGACTCGGGCTCGGGGAGCGGGACGCTCTTGGGGTAGAACTCAGTCAGGTAGCCGCCGCGGACGGTGTAGTACTTGTTTTTGTCGCGGGCGGTGCGCTTCTCGCACACCTCCTTCCAGTCCGAGAGGGCGGACTCGTAGGTGGCGATAGCTGCGGCGATGGCGGGGTACTTGGATGCACCTCCCTCGTCGTGGGCGAAGTCGGGGTTGTGGGCGACGAGGGTGCGCCAGTTCTTGAGGAGCGACATGGAGAAGTCGCTGTCGGCGCGCGAGAAGGCGGTATCGATGTTGCACCCGCCCATCTCGGTCGGCAGCTGTGCCTGGAGCCACGCGAGGTCGCGGAGCGCCTGGGGCGAGGCGTCGGCGCGAGCAATGCTCTCGAAGGACTTGCGGATGCGGTTGTGCGCAAACTCGAGAGCCTCGCACGCGACATTGGGCGGCGTGATGCCGGCAATGTACTTGGTCTTTGCGCAGGCGATCCGTTGGACGAGGTTGGGGGCATGGGCGGTGCGGCCCGCGCCGCGCGCGGGCGCGTGACAGCCCGTGAGTGCCGAGATCGGGTCCGTACTTCGACGTAGTATGGGCCCCCGGGGGCCCATCTACAGCAGCGGCGAAGTGAGCGTGTTTGTGGTGTTGGTGTGGCGTCTGAGCTTGGATCTGTGACTAAAGCCGGTTACCACTGATGGATCCCCACCCGAATAACACACAGTGAGCGCCCCAGCGCTTCACTACGCCCTCCGCGCGAAATCTCGCTAGTGCTGAGAAAGTATATTGTACTTTTGAGTAGTACGGGTACGGTTCCCGAGACCGTTTTGGCGGCAGGGCTGTTCCAGTTTATCTTTTGCTGTGAATAGGCGAGCCTGTGAATAGGCCCCGGAGGCCTCAACCCCCACTAAAGGGTTGACGGGGGGGTCTCAACCGTCAACCAGATGGTTGAGGGGGGGCCTCAACCGCCCACGGCACTCCGAGGACCTGGCCCTTTCGAGGTCTCGCCAGAGTTCGCCAATGCCGTGGCCCTTCCGCCGACCTCCGCCTCCTCCTCCGCCCGCCGACCCGGCGGTGGAGATCGCCCCGGTGCTGGTGGCGATTCTCTGCTGCTGGTGCATCCCGCTGCTCCTCTACCTCGCCGCGGCGGCGCGCCGGGGCCTGGCGAGGGCGCTCGTGGTTGAGGCTCTAGGGAGCTTTGCCTTCAAGCTCTTCGTCCACGCCGCCATCGTGGGTTCGGCGTGGTGCGCGCTCGGAGGCGATGCGACCGCGGCCGTGGTGCAGGCCACCGTCTGGCTGCTCATCGTCCTCCTCGCCTTTCCGTCGGGGGCGTTTCTCAACTCGGCAATCACCCTCGCGGCATGCGCCGCCGGCAAGCTCGCGCAGTCCGACGCCGTGCTCTACATCGGCGCCCAGTTCGCTGGCTCTGCCGTCGCCGTCGAGGCTATTCGCGCGCTGGCTCCGCTGGACCTGCACGGCGCCATCGGCCCTCCGCCGCCCGCCGAAGGCAGCTACTCGTCTGCGATACTGCACGAAGCGCTGTTCGCTGGCGCCAACTGCCTCCTGGCGCTCAACAGCAGCGCCTTAGGCACGGGCACGCCGCTCAAGGTTGCCACAATCGTCATTCTCCTCATTCGGATCGGAGGCGCATGCATGGACCCATCCGCCGCCTTTGCGGGCGCCCTGTTTGCCGGGCGCTACACCGACCTCGTCGAGGTGTATTGCGTTGGCGCGGCTCTGGGCGCCATCGCCGCAGGAACCTTGTCGAGGTGAGGACCGTGGCTGCTCGACCAGGGCGGCCGGGCGCGCCTCTCGGCCGACGCGTCACCCACCTTTTCTCCATACTCTATTAATTCATAATTGCCGCGCACGGCTGGAGGCCTGGACGTGGACCCGGTCGGGACGGCTGGCGCGTCGCCTTGTCCGTCTCGCGGAGCCGCGGTCTGTGCCTCGGTCTCGCGGATTAAGGGGTGTGTGTGTGGGCTGTCTCTCGTGTCTGTGCAGCGTCGTTCTGCCGAGCCCGGAAGCCGGATACGGCTCTCCGCGAAACTGGATACATTTTGCATATGCGAACCGAAAACTGTGCCGTGCGCGCGCGCGTCGCGGGCGACCCGCTAAACGCGCGCGCAACGGACGGCGTCCCGCTCCCGGCTCCTGCGGCTGAGCGACTCAGCGAGCGGGGCACCGGCATGCAAACCTGCTGAGCGACTCAGCGAGCGGCACCGGCATGCAAAGGGAAAGTGTACAATGAGGAGCGGGTTCCATTGCCGGCACCCCCCCAACCAACATTCGACGCGGGCGGCCCAGCGACGAGAGCCGGCTAGGTAATATGGGTTGTGGCCATGCGAATATGGGTTGTGTGGCCATGCGCGCGCCCCCGGCCGTCGCCGCCTCAGAGGCTAGCAACGGCGCGGGGGCGGGGCGGGGGGTTGAGCAGTCATGACTAGTGGACGCGCCGCCAGCAAGCGTCGAGCGGCTCGACATGCCGGGGCGCGTGTGGATGGCAAGTGTACAAGGGGTCCTCCCCTCTAAGCGCGGCCGACGCCAATAGGCATTGACGCATAGCGCGAGAAGTCGACGGGGACCTCGACCACGGTGGGGCGGGCGGCGGGGTGCAGCGAGGAGGGGCGGGCGGCCCAACCCTCCTCGAGCTGCGCCTCGCGCTGCAGCAGGTCCATCGTCGCGGCCAGGTTGGCGATCGGCAGCGCCGCGCATCCGGGCAGCGCCGGCGCGGGCGGCGGGTGGCACGCGCTGAGCGGCCTGGACAGCTGGCCGACGAGGACATCGAGAAGCGCGGGCACCGGGCGGCCTGCGACCTCGTACGCGCGCTTGGCCGCCGCCAGATGTTGCGGCGCGAACGTTGTCAGCTTGACGTGCGCGAGCGCCAACGTCTTCCGCAACGTCCGGAGATCGGTGAGCTCGACGTACTGCATCGCGTGGAGGATCCGTTCGATGCTCAGGATGGCCTCGACCGCTTCGGCAAGCGTCTGCGTGCCCGGCTGCGAGTCCGAAGGCGTGCCGCCGCTACGCCCCCCCTCCTCCTCCTCCGCGACCGACTCGAGCTCGTCGAAGAAGTACTCCATGGAGTACTCCGCCGGCGAGTTCTCGAAGAGGTCGTCCATCGTCGAGCGCGGACTCCCCCCGCGGGGGCCCTCCTTCTCCCCCCAGCCCGCAAAGGCGGTACCCTGCATCATAGCAGAGCACCAGAGCTTGGCAACCTTGCTTTCACGACCGTGAAATCAAGTACGTATTGCAAGAACGTGGGCGGAAATGCCCCCAGCCCACACGCCCTTGCTGACGACACGCCAGCGCCCCTCGCGTACGTGCGCCTCAGCTCAATCACGGACGTACTTCGACACTACGTACGCGTGCGAGCCCCGCAGAGGTGCGGGCGAGAGGGCGGCCGAGCCCGAAAGGGCCCGCCCTCGGCGTTGCTCTACATGGTAACGGCTAAGAAGAGAAACACCCCCGGACTGGGACGCCGGCAGTCGAGTCGGGACACGCTGTGGCTCAGACGTCCCCCCCCTCGACGCAGTCGAGTGACTGACATGAATAGGGAGGAGAAAGTGTCCCCCAAATATCACCACAGACGCAGCACAGGGGCTCCAATCCTGTCCCAGCCTGGGGGGGCCTCGCTAGATCTCCAGTGGGGAGTGCGAGGGCTGGATCGACTGCAGCGAGAGTGTGGGTTGTGGACCGTCGGGATAGCGTGTGGCGTAGATGTTCTCCTGGAAGTAGAGAGGCTGATGTCTCTCGCCCTGCAGGAAGGAGAAACTCGGACGGTGGAGTGAAAACTCCTCCCTGCGGCGTGTGCGCAGAATGGGTTGCGCATGTGCGGCATCATGTTGAGGACTCGAGATTGACCTCACGGGTTCGAACCCGGCGGGGTAGGGTGGGGGACCCCCCCCGGCCCGGGTGAGGTCAGTCTCACCCGGGTCCGGTAACCTGCGCAGAGCCGGGGTTTTTCCCCACGGATAATACCGCCAATGGGGACCCATTAGCCCAACGTCCAAAGCAGCCCCCCAGGGTTCGAACCCGTGAGGTCAATCTCACCCCTTTTTCAAGGGTACCCCTTTAACCGGGTTTTTCCCGGCGGGGTAGGGTGGGGGACCCCCCCCGGCCCGGGTGAGGTCGCAGACTGACTGTAGCTCAGTTGGTCGGCTCATATAGTTCAACAAAAGTGGTCTCGGGTTCGAACCCGTGAGGTCAATCTCACCCCTTTTTCAAGGGTACCCCTTTAACCGGGTTTTTCCCGGCGGGGTAGGGTGGGGGACCCCCCCCGGCCCGGGTGAGGTCATCT